ATAAAAATAAATAAAAATAAATAAAAATAAATAAAAATAAATAAAAATAAATAAAAATAAATAAAAATAAAAATAAAAAAATAAATAATTCTTTTTCTTTTTCTTTTTCTTTTTCTTTTTCTTTTTCTTTTTCTTTTTCTTTTTCTTTTTCTTTTTCTTTTTCTTTTTCTTTTTCTTTTTCTTTTTCTTTTTCTTTTTCTTTTTCTTTTTCTTTTTCTTTTTCTTTTTCTTTTTCTTTTTCTTTTTCTTTTTCTTTTTCTTTTTCTTTTTCTTTTTCTTTTTCTTTTTCTTTTTCTTTTTCTTTTCTTTTTCTTTTTCTTTTTCTTTTCTTTTTCTTTTTCTTTTTCTTTTTCTTTTTCTTTTTCTTTTTCTTTTTCTTTTTCTTTTTCTTTTTCTTTTTCTTTTTCTTTTTCTTTTTCTTTTTCTTTTTCTTTTTCTTTTTCTTTTTCTTTTTCTTTTTCTTTTTCTTTTTCTTTTTCTTTTTCTTTTTCTTTTTCTTTTTCTTTTCTTTTTCTTTTTCTTTTTCTTTTTCTTTTTCTTTTTCTTTTTCTTTTTCTTTTTCTTTTTCTTTTTCTTTTTCTTTTTCTTTTTCTTTTCTTTTTCTTTTTCTTTTTCTTTTTCTTTTTCTTTTTCTTTTTCTTTTCTTTTTCTTTTTCTTTTTCTTTTTCTTTTTCTTTTTCTTTTTCTTTTTCTTTTTCTTTTTCTTTTTCTTTTTCTTTTTCTTTTTCTTTTTCTTTTTCTTTTTCTTTTTCTTTTTCTTTTTCTTTTTCTTTTTCTTTTTCTTTTTCTTTTTCTTTTTCTTTTTCTTTTTCTTTTTCTTTTTCTTTTTCTTTTTCTTTTTCTTTTTCTTTTTCTTTTTCTTTTTCTTTTTCTTTTTCTTTTTCTTTTTCTTTTTCTTTTTCTTTTTCTTTTTCTTTTTCTTTTTCTTTTTCTTTTTCTTTTTCTTTTTCTTTTTCTTTTTCTTTTTCTTTTTCTTTTCTTTTTCTTTTTCTTTTTCTTTTTCTTTTTCTTTTTCTTTTTCTTTTTCTTTTTCTTTTTCTTTTTCTTTTTCTTTTTCTTTTTCTTTTTCTTTTTCTTTTTCTTTTTCTTTTTCTTTTTCTTTTTCTTTTTCTTTTTCTTTTCTTTTTCTTTTCTTTTTCTTTTTCTTTTTCTTTTTCTTTTTCTTTTTCTTTTTCTTTTTCTTTTTCTTTTTCTTTTTCTTTTTCTTTTTCTTTTTCTTTTTCTTTTTCTTTTTCTTTTTCTTTTTCTTTTTCTTTTTCTTTTTCTTTTTCTTTTTCTTTTTCTTTTTCTTTTTCTTTTTCTTTTTCTTTTTCTTTTTCTTTTTCTTTTTCTTTTTCTTTTTCTTTTTCTTTTTCTTTTTCTTTTTCTTTTTCTTTTTCTTTTTCTTTTTCTTTTTCTTTTTCTTTTTCTTTTTCTTTTTCTTTTTCTTTTTCTTTTTCTTTTTCTTCTACTTGACAAAACAAGTTAGTAAAGACTTACTTTCTAAGTTTTTAACGAACAGTATTTACTTTTCTGATAGTGAAAAAATAAAAATTAATTTCATGATGATAATTATATATTTTATGGTTTATTTTATGTACCTACCACCTACTATAAAACTTTACGTTTTCATATTGATTATATACCTACTCTCAATAAATATTTTTAAAGTATTACATACATTTTTGTTTTAAATAAATAGTTTTCAATCAATTGATAACTATGGATCTGCAATTGTAGGTGAATTTAACAGATTTTGACTGCTTAGAATTTATGAAAAAAAAAAATGTGATAGCAGTTTGGATTTACTTCAGAGATGTGTATAGTTAATACAAACATTACTGATATCCCTGTCTTTGTCTTTAGAAATATTTTTTTGTGGATAACTCTTTACAATGGTCCCTTATTATTCGTGGGCAGCCACATTAGGGGGATTAGGAGAAATTTGTTTTGTTTTATTTTTCATCAAAGTTTTATAGTATTCCAACAACTATTTTATCCTCTAATTCCACTCTGATTTCAGAGATTTTTTGTAGTCACAAAGAACAAAGATGTACCGAATAATAACAAATTGAAGCAGTTTTCTGAATAAATGCAGCTGTTAATTTTATTTCATATAGATATATTTTTTTACTAAATTTAATAAATTTTTTAGA